GAGGCGCTATTTCTAGACCCAACTCGTGGATTTTGGCGACGACGACTTCCACCCCAAGTTCGGCGAGCTCCTTGGTCCTCTCGAAAGTTATCCCGCTGGCGATCACCAAGGTGTCGTCGGCATAGCACACGATATTTACGCCAGCGGGAATATGCGGTATCTAATAACAAATTAATTAATTAAATTTATTAAATGCTTTGTGTTATTATAATTTAAATAGAAAAGGTAATAGAACAGGTCTTTAAATGCGCCTAGTAAGTGATATTGACATTCGGTGGATATTGACCTCCTCGCGTACTTGATTCTACACTAACTCACTCTTAATAAAATAGGCATATTAATGTTTAAAATGATTTATAGTTTAATACGATTGATTTAATGTATCTACCATCAGAAAAAATAATACATACACAGGGGCGGTTAATTCAAAGTAGCTGCAAGTAAGTTAGGTGTCCTTTGAAAGATTTTGCGATAATTTGCGCCGGGATAGTTATTTACGTATTATAGTTGTATAGTGCTACAAAATGCTATCTAACGGCTTTGAATTTAATGGATAAACGTACGTAGAGGTTTATCGGTGACATCAATATGGTTGAAACCATCTCAGTCTAGAGCACAGGTGCAAACTAACCAGTCTTTTGTCGTTTGACGGGACACATTTTGGAGAGTTGCGCAGGATTTGCATGACTTAATTCCTCCCTATCTGTTCCATTATCGAACAACCCGACGCGGGGCAGGTCTCCATCCCTTTGTTGTCATCATCCTACGCAAACCAAACTGTTTGATTTGTCATTCGTAATGCTTGGATTATTTTCCCAACATCTGACCCCGACGAAAACCGTACTGGTGGTCACTAACCAGCTGGTGATCCTCAAGGTACCTCATGAGCTGGCAGTTTATAATGGATTCCATTATTTTGGAGAACAATGAGTTTATGGCGATAGGCACAACGCTGGGATCTTCCGGCGAGAAGCAAACCAAGGGTAGGATGCAAAAGAAGACCGCATCCCGTCAAAATCGGCTGACCTATAGTGCCAAACACGGCGGGATGCTGCAGATCGTAACTGCGATTGGAGCGTGAGTGGCACCGTACTCCGGATTAGACAATGGTCTGAAGAGCCCAAAGGGGCATCGACGGAGACCTGATATCCGTCCGGATGAGAGGTCAGCAGAAGGTCCAACAGGGAAGGTACATGGTCTTCCACATCTGGAATACGCGTAGGCAAAGTAAACAGTTGTGTTAAACTATATGCAAAGGCAAAGTCATAGACAGTCTACCCGCATGATCGGTTAAACGGGAACCGAGCCATTCAGCGTGGTGGACGTTAAAATCACCGAGTATCACGATCTCTGCGGATGGGACCTATTGTAGCACGGAGTCTGCAGCCATTTGGACGTGGTCGATGAGTCGGTCTGTGTCGACATTACCGCTATGGGACCTATAGAGGCACCCGTAGACGCGGGGATGGTCGTCGCTCTCTACGCGCAGCCATAGGATAGACAGGTCCGTACCTTCAAGACTGCCGTGGCGTCGAAAACAAATGTTCTCTCTGACGTATACGCAAACCCCAGCCCGAGGCACAAAAAAGTGTTCTAATTTGTAGAGAGATATGAAGTATCAGCCGGAGAGGACACCTGAGTCTCGGTTAAAAAGAGCAAGGCGGGCTTCGCCGTCTCTAGATGGTAATGGACAGCGTTAAGGTTGGAATGAAGTCCCCTGATGTTCGAAAAATTCACGGATAGCGTGACAGGGGTCGCCTTGGTCTTTTTGCTCCGCTTGCCTCGAGCAGTTTTAGTCGCGAGCGGAATTTCGCCCCCTCCCCTCAGAATACGTGGGGCATCCTGAGGATCCACGCTCAGGAGTGGTGTATTTTGGTCGTGGATGCTCAGCGAGGGATTCTCCAGGGGTGCTGGTACCCTCCTGAGGTAGTCTTTTCTTTAATCCCTGTTACGGATCGCCGTAACGCCGTTCGAAAAATGAATGAAACGCGTTGGTCTTGCTTAAACTGGAGGCAAGCGGCGGTGAGGAGGAACTTTTTCTTTTCTTGCTGCTGTTTTCTTTTCCGTGGCTGGAGAGCGACTGGCGACCGTTCCGGCCGGCCCGTCTTATATATGATTTGGCCGTTGCTGGCCAGCGGACCCTTGCCTCACCCCCGCGCCTTTCTTTATTGGTTAGATTTCTTACAAACTAACGAACAGACTTAAATATATAACATTCTTACAACTACTTATTAAACTAATATTTACATAACAATTTTTCTATATACTAATGGTTAAAAGGTTGTTTTTCCAGCAAAGCTGTGTGCAACCACCGCTAGTTGTGGAACCGTGAGCGCGGCCCGACGATCATAAGATCCTCATGGCTCCGCCCACCGCCCCTAGGTTGTTCAACTAGCGATGGTTACGACAAGCAATCAGTAAGTTATTTCGTTCGACGTATTACTTTTGTTTGCGTCGTGCACATTCTCCCGCCGTCGCCACGCTGCGATACCTCTGGTAGCACGACGATCTTCTTTGTCGGTCTTCGTAGTACATGCCCCGTGCTTGTGGTTACGTCCACTACTCGTACCTCTCCGTCGACGCCAGGATATACGTTACTGATTTTTCCCCTGGGCCAGATGTTGCGTGGTAGATTGGAGTCACAAATGATGACTAGGTCTCCAATCTTCGGTGATACGCCTATGCTGCTGGGCTCCCGCCGGTGTTGGAGTAGGGGCAGGTATTCCTTTACCCACCTTCTCCAAAACATGTAGGCCAGGGCTTGAGCTCGTTTCCACTGCTGGCGGGCCGTCACATCGCTCTCGCTGAAGTGTCCCGGCGCAGGTACGTGCGAGTTGGGACCGATGATGATGTGATTCGGCGTGATGGCTTCTGGGTCTCCTGGGTCGACTGAGACGTGTGTGAGAGGTCTTGAGTTGACCGTGTTTTCGACCTCGGCGAGCAGGGTCACCAATGTCTCGTCACTGGGATAGCGCTCGTTAAGGGTGACGCGTAGAGCTTCTTTCACGGAGCGAACCATTCGCTCCCATGCGCCGCCCATGAACGGTGCTGATGGTGGTATGTACTTCCACACAATTTGTCGACATGTGGTTTCGTGCTCGAGGGCTGCGAGTGCTGCTTCGGCCAGCTCCTTGTCGGCTGCCGTGAAGCACGTAGCGTTGTCACTCCATATTTCTTTTGGGCATCCTCTTCTGCTCATAAAACGCTTGAGCGCCGACACGGCTGAGTCGGCGCTTAAAGAGTGGGCTACCTCTATGTGTATTGCTCGTGATGTCATGCAGGTGAATAACGCGCCATAGCGCTTTTCACGATGTCGTCCCACTGTGACCTCTATTGGCCCGAAATAGTCCAGTCCGGTGTATGTGAACGGACGTGCGTGATGAGCGAGGCGTGCGGACGGCAGGTTTCCTGTAGATGGTGATGCAGGCTTAGCTTTTTTTAGACGGCACGGTAGGCAGCTTTTGACAACAGTTTTTACCACTGGACGGATTTTTCTTATGTACAATCTCTGTCTTAATTCGTTCACGACTGTTTCCACGCCTCCGTGATGCAACCACTCGTGTACGTGTGTTATGTACAGAGGAGTGTATGCGTGCTTCCCGTCTAGTATGGGAGGGTCGTACGTGTCCTCTTCCACTTCTGATGCTGCTTTTATTCGACCTCTGAGGCGTAGGGTCCCCTCTTCATCGACGTATGTGCTCAAGTGGCCTAATTTGTCGTCACCTCCCGGAACACTTCCGTTGGCGATCCTCTTGAGCTCCTTCGTGAAGGTTTCCTGCTGACTGGCTTGCACCCACAGTTGTTCGGCTCTTACGTGATAAGCGGCCGGTATTCCTACAAGCGATGCGACAGTAGGAGTTGCCTTTTCCTCCTTGGCGGGGATGTTGCGTTTGTTTGTTCTTCGCCAGCCAGGGTCGCTATCTTGTCTTGCTCGGTTGCGTTTACGCCCAGCCTTCACCACGTGCTTGTTTGGTCTGCACATGTCGATGAATAGGAGGACTCTCGCTGTCGCCCTTATGAGGCGAATCCATTTTGAAAATCTTTCTATTTGTGGCAGATGTATTGTTGGCGAGTCTACCCTTTTAACTGCGATGTTACATACTTCTCGTTCTTCCCCGGTGTCGTATTGTGTAGTTTTCTCTTCCTGTGGCTATTCTGCTGGTGGACGTTGCAGAAACGGGGGCCCTCGGAACCACCGGTGCGACTCGTCGAATCTTTCTGGCGTGGATCGGGTCGCGTCGTCTGCCACGTTTTCTTTAGACGGTAGCCAACGCCATTCGTTCTTCTTGGTCGTATCTTCTATCTCCGCCAGGCGATGAGCGACGAAAGCTTTGTACGCGCGAGGCTCCGACCTTATCCACACCAGTGCAGTACGAGAGTCGCACCAGTATGTCTTGCCCGCTATATCACCATCGTGCTCATCGACCACGGTCTGCGCGAGACGAGCTCCCAGCAGTGCCGCTTGTAACTCGAGCCGTGGTATGGAGACTGGTTTCAGTGGTGTTACGCGGCTCTTGGCGGCGGCCAATGATACGTTAACGCTGCCGTCTGCTCGCTCCGTTCTCCAATACACGGCTGCTGCGTAGGCCTCCTCGCTTGCGTCGACGAATGTGTGTAGTTGGCGCGTCGACACCGGGTTGTAATCGTAGCATCGCGGTATTCTTAGTTATTCTATGGCGTTAAGTGAAGTAATCCAGTCTTCCCATTTTTCTTTTAATTCTGTGGGCAGAGGGTCGTCCCAGTCCGCCTTGTAACGCCATGTGTCTTGGAATATTCTCTTCGCTGGGGTGGTCACTGGTGATATTAATCCCAGCGGGTCAAATAAAGCCATTATGACCCTCAACGCTTCACGTTTAGTTGGCAAGCGTTGTTTTTCTTTTACGTCGTCAGGCATCATATTGTGAGTATTACATCCAATATGATCGCTTTGTACATGCCAGAGCAGGCCGAGCGTCTTCTCAGTTTCTTTTCTGCCGAGGCTCACGGTCGCGTCGAGTTGTTTATGTTCTGTCGTTATTTCTTCTATTGTTTTCTCTTCGTTCGATGTCCACCCGCTGAGTACGAATCCCGCTTCTTTGTGGACGTGATCGACTGCTTTTACCGTTTGCTGAGCTTCCGTGACAGAGTGGAAGCTCTGCAAGTAGTCGTCCATATAGTGATTTCTTTTTATGGCGACCGCAGGTTCTGGGTATGCCTCTGCATGTTCTACAGCATTTTTATTTTTGATGTATAATGCTGTGCACGGTGATGATGTCGCTCCAAAGTTGATTGATGTCATCCTATATTCTTCCGGTTGGTCCTCCCGCCGCTTGCCTCTCCATAAGAACGTAAAACGTCTCTATCTTCTTTGCGCACTTTGATCTGCATGAACATTTCTTTTATGTCGGCGCTCACTGCATACGGATACTGTCGGAACCTCATGATTACTCCGGGCAATGATTGTAATAAGTCGGGCCCCGAGTGAAGCATATCGTTGAGACATATTCCGGCTGTCTTCGCTGCGGCGTCGTGCACCAATCTCGGCGGCTTGTCTGGTTTCGCAGGGTTGATGACTGGGAAGTGTGGCAGATACCATATCCTTCCTTGCAGCGGTGGCATTGGCGCGCGCTCTGCGTAACCCGAGTTTAAAAGGTTCTGTATGCGTTCTTCGTACTGTAGCTTGAGATTGCTGTCTCGGTCGAGCCTCTTCTCTAAGGTGTGCAGGCGCCTTTCCACGTCCTTGTAATTATTTGGTATTAGGAAATCCTTTTGTTTCCACAACAACCCTGTCTCGAATCTGCCGTCCGCCAACCTCTGGCTGGTTTCCCTCAATATTTGCATAGCTCGCTGCTCGGGATCTTCTTTCGGTCTTCTTGGCTCGATGCACAGCGATTCTAATTTGAAATAATTTTTTATTTCCTCTTCTATCGGCTGTGTATCTTCCCTCTGATGTAGTTTGCCGCAGAAGGTGACCGTCGACGTCAATGAGCTATGACAGCCATGCAGAACCCAGCCCAGGTTGGTGTGTGAGGCGACTGGTTGGTTTCGACGACCGACGCGCAGTTTTCTAGACTCTATGAGGTGCCAGTTATCTTGTCCGATTAGTATTTTCGGTGAGGCGCGTTCGTAGGTGATATCTTCTTTGATATCCCACAGATGTTGGCAATTCTCTAAGTGATTTTCATTCACGGATTCTGGCGCGAATTCCAAGCGCTCTACCGTACGCGCTGCTTCTATGTTGTGTTCCTCTTGCGCGTACTTTCCTCTTATTTTAAGGCTGACGATCTTGCTCTTCTCATGTTTCACCTCCGAGCCGACCCATTGTATCCATATTGCGTGGGCTGGCTGGGCGCCGACGTTGTCGGCGCCGATAACGTCGGCGCCGATGACGTCGGCGATCGAGGCGTCAACTAAGATGACCGTGCTTCCTTCATCCAATAATGCGTATGTTTCGACGCAGCTTAGCGGCCCCCTTATTGTTACGGGCGCAATCTTTAGATAAGCGCGGCGGTGTTTGTACGATTGAGTCGCTGTGATGACCTCCCTTGCCGATGTTGCGGTTTCGATATCGGGTTCCTTTTCAATTTCTGCTGTTCTGTCGTGATACAGCAATTTATGGTGTTTCATCATGCATCCGCCTTTTCCGCACGGTGGAGCTTTACACAGCAATCGGCGATGTTTGCCTCGCAGACAGCGGTAGCATATATTATTCTTCTTTGCTACTTCCCATCTGTCATTTGTGGACAGAGCGGCGTATGACTTGCAATCGGGCAGTTTGTGTTCTTGTTTGCATTGAGGGCAGCGTTCTTCATATTGTTTCTTGCTTGTGGCGAAGGCACGTTCTATTTTTCTCGGTCTTCGCTCTCTCGTCTCGCTGTCCTCTGCTATGAACTCCGGCAAGGCATACGCACTGCATTTGTCCGCTTCTTCGTTTAAGAACATTGATATCTTCTTAAGCTCTGCGATATCTTCTTTCTTTCTGGCTGCATAGTCGTACCATTTGCTTCTCAATATGGGCGTGAGTTTGTCTGTGATAACTCGCGTCATTTCCGGACTATGCAGATAGTGTGCTTTCTTGAGTGCTTCCACGGTGCCCACTACGTTTGCTATGCGATTTGCGAATATGCATAGTTCCCTGGGATTGTCCGTAACTTTGTTCAGCAGCTTCAGCTTCTCTATTTCCAAGTGGATTAACGCTTCTGGTCGTTCGAATCTCCTATCCAAAGCTTCCATTATCATTCTGGGATCTAGTTGGCTTATAAGTAGGCAACCTGCGGCTTCTTTTGCTGTCCTTTTTAAGCTTCGACGTATTCTCGCTATGTTTTCGTTCATCGTGAAGTACTTTGAAGATTCTTCGTACGCTGTTTTGAAGCTGAGCCATTCTTTGCTGCTACCATTGAATGTAGGTAGCTCTTGCACATATTTCGGCGACTCCCTTGTGCTTCGTACTGCTTGTGATAGAGCAGCGGCTAAGGTAGCGACGTCGATTTGTTGCTGTGCCTGTCCATAGTCTTCTTTCTGCGGCGCGGGTTGTGATGCAAACTGCGGAGCGGGTTGCGATGCGAAGTGCGGCGTGTGTTGCGACGCGTGCTGCGGCTCGGGTTGCGATGTAGACTGCGGAGCGGGTTGCGATGCGAAGTGCGACGTGGGTTGCGGCGCGGACTGTGGCGCTGGTTGCGATGTAGGTTTTTCTTGCAACCATGTACTAATGCGCACTGATGCTAAATCGTCTTCTATTTCTTCATCTTCGTCATCGGTTGATCCGACTTCTGCTTGTAATCGCTGCACGTGTATTTCTTGCAATTCCGTTCTTGCTTGCAACTGAGCTTGCTCGAGCTTGAGTTTGGCTAACCGCTCTTTCGCCTCTAACTCCGCGAGGAGTCTCTTGCGTGAGGCTACGGAGCGGGGCGACCTAGTTTCGTCGGGCTTTAATGTGCGCTGCGATCTTCGATCCTTTTCTTGCTGGGTTTCTTCCGTTGCGGCCGTGTTATCGGTCGCAGAGGTAGCGGTTGTATCGCTGACCGTTGTGGTTTCGCTCGTGGTGTTGGATGTACCACTAGCGGTTGAGTCGCCCCCGGAGGCCTCTTCTGTGGCCCCCTGGGTTATCTGTTCATCCTTGCGACGCTTCGATGATTCTCCGTTGTTACTACGTGTAATCACCATTTTTCTTCACAATAATATTTTTTCGTTCTTGCGGTTTGCTTCTTTCTTCCGGCAATACCAAGACCGATATTGTCTTTTTCTTCTAGTAATCCAGCTTCTCGAAGGACCATTAATGTTACGGATCGCCGTAACGCCGTTCGAAAAATGAATGAAACGCGTTGGTCTTGCTTAAACTGGAGGCAAGCGGCGTTGAGGAGGAACTTTTTCTTTTCTTGCTACTGTTTTCTTTTCCGTGGCTGGAGAGCGACTGCCGACCGTTCCGGCTGGCCCGTCTTATATATGATTTGGCCGTTGCTGGCCAGCGGACCCTTGCCTCACCCCCGCGCCTTTCTTTATTGGTTAAATTTCTTACAAACTAACGAACAGACTTAAATACGAGTATATAACATTCTTACAACTACTTATTAAACTAATATTTACATAACAATTTTTCTATATACTAATGGTTAAAAGGTTGTTTTCCAGCAATTTTTTAGCTGAGGACCCTGCCCCCCGCCTCAGTACTATAAATATAAAACGTCGTGGCGCGGCGCGCGTAGCCTCATTCGCTCCGCGGCCGCGTTACGGTAACATGCCCTGTTTATTATTTTTCGTGCCTAAAGGCCTAATATATAAGAAATTAAATTGCACTATACAAAAGAATACAATTTACATATAATACTTACTCTACAATTTGGCATTAATTAATTTCTATATTCTAAATCTATGTTAACTCTCGCCCATGTTGATGGGGGGGGGGGGGGGGAATTGGGCCTTCAGCCACCTACACTCACCAAGCGCAATGCAGAGGTAAACTTCTACTTCACGCTGGTATTCTGTGAGGTCGTGGTAAGCCGGCCCAAGTAAATATAAGAAGTAAATATACTTATACTCCGCATTCTATAAATTAAAGAGAATATAATTACTTTATTTCTGAATGTATGTATAATTTGAAACAATTAAAATATTATTTTTAAAACGATAACATGTTTTTAAAAATGTTTGAATCAATAATTGTTATTGATCAATGTGCATTTGTTTTATTATCCCCCAATCCATATAAACGAACCGATCGACTTTATTTAAGGACGCATTTCAATAAATGGAAGAGGTTTAAAGTCTTTCCTATGCAATTAAAATAAACAAAGAACGATCTTGAACATTCACTTCGATGCAATTAAGCTCTGGCTGGCACGCCTCTGTTTACCACGTCTCTGTCAGGCTAACGTAATTAATCAGATAAGGGAGTCAATTGTTTAATTTTAAATAAAACGTAATATATTAAGATATCTCAAAGTATTTAGTCCAAAAGAAATCATTTTTATACGATTCTCTTCCATTTATCCTACTGATCATATAAATGCATTCTGCCATGGGGCAACTCGGTGCCATATTGTTTAAACCGATTTGTTCAATTGCAATGAATTGTTATTTTCAAACGGGACACTTTTTTTACATTTTTTGATAAAATACAAATAAAAAAGGCCATATGACTCTTTACGATAAAGTTAATATTTTCGGAGTTATGAATTTAAAATGGTTTTAAAATACCAAATTTGATACTCTTGACTTATTAAAATTACATACCTAAATAAAAATAATAAAATATAAAAGATCTTTTTTATATTCTAAAATTTAAAAAAGAATATATAACCCTCACACTTTATCGTGAATAAATTACAAAAGGACTAACGTCCAGATCCGGAACATTATTTATAGAGAGTGGAGGAATTGCGGACATTTAACTTAATATTACAATAAAAACTATAAAATTAGCAGAGTTCAGTATGTTTTTCAATTTAACTAAACTTTCTATTTTTTATTACCAACTACTACTAAATATAAAAAAAAAAACAAATACCTTGCTGTCCGTAATTTCTCGGTGCATATCGGGTAAATGTGGTCATCAGTTTGGGTAATTGCTAATCCTTTGGGGTAGTTACGAACGATCTATTATTACTCCTAACAAAATCACAAATATTACGACCAGAAGTGGACACGACACAGTGTATTCGGTCCTCAGCGGGAGACGTCACATCCAAGAGTATTTAATATTTTTGTATCTTCCTTCTCTTGCATCGTGTCAAACTCTGAAGATATTTAACTCCTTTCATGGACTTCATATTGGTGTATTTCTTTTTCTTTATAATTTTTTGGAATATTCTCAGTCTTTGTTTTCTTGTATCTAACTCAACCACATGTTTAATTTAATTCTTGATTCTTTATAATTTTATTTTTGCTTTTCCGATTTCTGTTTTTCGGAAGTACTAGTTAGTACAGTCGTAATTTTTTTACAGAGGACTTTTGTAGGAGTTTGTAAATAAGTTAGGTATATCTATAGTATCAGATAAAGGTTGCGCATGTATGGGCTGAAATTGGCTTCACCATTACACAAATATTGCAGTTGTGTCCTTATGCACATTATCATTCATCATTACAGCCATGTACAAGTCCCCTGCTGAACATAGGCCTCCCCCAAGGAATGCCACAAAGCACGGTCTTATGCATATCTTACCAGGTCGTCACTCCATCTATTGGGGGACGCCCTACAATTCGTCCACCGGTACGAAGCCGCCACTCGAGAACCTTTTTTCCCCATCGGCTGTCGGTTCTTCGAGTTATATAGCCGGCCTATTGCCACTTCAGCTTACTAATCCGTTGGGCTATGTCGGTCATTCTGGTTCTACTGCGGATATCCTCATTTCTAAGTTTATCACGCAGAGAAACTCCGAGCATAGCCCTCTCTATAGCTCGCTGAGCGAGCTTGAGCTTCCTCATCCGGCCAGCAGTGAAGGACCACGTCTCAGTACCATAGGTCATGACTGGCAACACGCACTGGTTATACAGCCTTGTTTTCAAGTTTTGAGGTATACCTGACGAGAAGATGTGCCGTAATTTCCCGAACGCTGCCCAACCGAGTTGAATCCGTCGATTGACCTCTCGGTCGAAGTTGGACTTACCCTAGTCGGACTATTTGTCCCAGGTAAACATACTCATCAACAACTTCGAGCTTAGTGCTCTCAACAACTACCGGCATATGTGTGACATGGACATTAAACATGATCTTTGTTTTGTCCATGTTCATCTTAAGATCTATCCGTTGGGAAACACTATTGAGGTCATTGAGCATAGTACTTAGGTCCTCCAGCGATTCTGATATAAGGACTATATCGTCTGCAAATCGAAGGTGAGTGACGTACTCGCCATTGATGTTAATACCGTATCCTTTCCAGTCCAGAAGCTTGAAAACGTCTTCCAATGCAGCGGTGAAGAGTTTCGGGGATATAACGTCACCCTGTCTTACGCCTCTCCGCAATTGGATAGGTTTCGTACTCTAGTTCTGTACTCGGATAACCATCATAGCTCTACTGTACAAGCACTTGAACACTTCGATATACCGACAGTCAACTTGGCATCGCTGAAAGGGCTGCAGCACCGCCCAAATTTCGACGGAATTAAAGGCTTTCTCATAGTCCACATATGCCAGACATAGTGGCAAATTGTACTCCTCGGACTTCTGTAAAATTTGCCGAAGGGTATGTATGTGGTCTATGGTGCTAAAGTCTTTTAGGAAACCGGCTTGTTCGGGAGGCTGGAAATCGTCAAGTCTGCGCGCGAGACGATTCGTAATGACTCTCGAAAACAGCACGTAGACGCGGCTCAGAAGGGAAGTCGGTCTGTAGTTCTTCAAGAGAGCGTTGTCACCTTTCTTGAAGAATAAGACCACGTGCTTCTGCTCCACGCCTCCGGTGTAGGGCCACCATGGAGGACGGAATTAAAGAGCCTCTGAAGGACTTCAAGTACCGGGTTTCCACCCGATTTCAGAAGCTCCGCTGTAATTCCGTCCTCGCCTGGGGCCTCGCCGTTTTTAAGATGCTGGAGAGCCATTCTAATCCCACTCAGACTGACGTCCGGGATACCATTGGAATAGTGTCGGATAAGACTCGCTCTTGGATCGTTACTCTTACTTGCGTGTGGCTCAATCGATGATGTGTACAGCTGCCCATAGAACCTCTCAATCTCACTCAAAATCTCAGGTGTCCCGGAAAGGACGCTGCCACACTCGGTCTTCAGCTTCGACAGTTGGCTCTTTCTGGCAAACAGATCTTTAGCAAAGACCTTGGAGCCCTGGTTCCGCTCGATCGCTTCTTAGATACGAGCAGTATTAAAGTTGCGTAAGTCCCACCGCATGCATATGGAGATCTGTCTGTTCAGTTGCCTGTATGCTGTCAAATCTACTGAAGACTGCAACTTCATATCCCGTCTAACAGCAATGAGATTAAGGGTGTGATCGGAGAGTTTTTGTGTTCTTCTGCGGCGGGTCTTGCAAAACTTAGCTCCGACCGCATGGACAGTTTCCACGAGCTTGTCATTCATATCGTCCACTTCATTGCAGTCTTCTAGGCACTGAAAACGGTTTGTAACTCGAGCTGAAAGGTTTTGGGACTGTTCGCGCCAAACGCTGTTGTCAGAATCGACGTCTAGGGGGCGCGCGGCTCTGTGCGATACCGGTTTTGACGTCGGCCGAGCGCAGGGTTGAGAACGCGTAAAGGCAAAAAAGTCGTCTGTCAGCTGTGCTAAGGACAGCACACTGTCATTTTTGTTCGGGAACCGCGGAATAGTTTAGGCGTCTAGTAAACATCCTGTCTAGGATTTATAACGCGCATTCCTTGTTGGATAGCCTTTCCCGGGACTTATTGGGTCCGACTCAGAATCTGTATAAATGCATTCGACAATATTAGCTAGTGCTGCCTTTGATATTCTAGAAGTAACTGTTGCTACGCAAAACGGTAGTGACCTTTGATCCGGACACTCCCTGTTCATTTTGTGTGTTAGGCTTTATAACAAACGAGAGTTAGTGGCTTCTGTAAGTTAGTTAATAGTACGATAGAGTTAATGGACTGTCATCGTGACGAACGAAGAAGTGGTCCGGCGCCGAAGCAGTCTGAAGCGGTGCAGCATTTTGGAGCAGCCTGGAACTCGGCCGCTGCTGGTCGTCTATGCTTGCCAAGGCCCCACAC